GTAAGCCAACACCCCACAACCTGTCTTCTACAGTTCTCTCTGAGTTCTGTCCTGAGAGAGTTTGACGCCATCCAGAAGGAACAGAAAGAGAACAGCTGCTGTACTGATAAGCGGACATGGTGGACAGGGCGGCTGGCTCTGGACCGCAGGATGGAGGTGTGTGCTCCTAGAATGGGGAGGCTTGGGACTGCCCCAGGGATGATGGGAAGAATGGGGCGGTGATACCAGTATCTTACCCAGCAGAGACCTAAGTCATTGCTGAATTACTTTTTTTAGTCCTCTCTGTAAGTGTAGGTCTCAATAAAACATTGTGTCAATTGAGGAGGGCTTTAAATAAGAGCCCTGGTCGGGTGTGGTGACTCATGCCTGTGATCACAACTACTTGAGAGATGGAGATAGATAGGGGAGACTAAAGTTTGAGTCCAGCCCAGGCAAAGCATTCTAACAAGACTCATCTCAACAAAGTAAACCAGGCACATGTAGTGCTTCACATTTGTAATCCCAGCTATTCAGGAGGCTGTAAATAGGAGGATCAAGGGCCATGGCTTGCCTAAGGCCAAAACATGAGAGCCTATCTTAAAAAAAAAGAACTAAAAGAAGGGCTTGGGCTGGAGGTGTAGCTCCAGTGGTAGAGCATTTGCCTAGTGTGCATAAGGCTCTGAATTCAAACTTCAGTACCACTCTACCTCCCTACCTACCCCCTAAAACAGCGCCAGACTTAAAGTGGGTACGACAAGGAAATGTTTATACATAAAAGAGGGGGTTGGGGATTTCACTCAGTTTGGAAAGGAGCTTACTTACCAAGGGCAAGATCCTGAGTTCTGTCCTCAGCACTGAAAAAAAAAAACACACATACACAGAAGAAAAAGGATTTAAACCCAAATGCCAGCTTCCTGGCTTTAGTGTTCGCTGCCCAAGTGCTCATAGTTGTCACAATGTAAGTGACTTTATCACCAATTGCCTTTGCTCTCCCGGAGAAAATGAAAACACATTCTTGATTTTTGTCTTTTATGACTGATAAGTAAGACATATAACATATTGGAAGGAACACACACACACACTTTCTCATCTCTAAAATGTTGACACTTCTGTTCCCCAATCCCAGGATCTCATCACATCCCTAGAAAAGCACGTGTTAGGCTGCTGGCGGGGGCTGCTGCTGCCCTCCAGTGAGGGGCCAGGCCTTGCCACGGAGGCCTCCCGCCTACAAGAGTTGCTGCAGGAATGTGGCTGGGAATATCCTGACCCTACTCTGCTGAAGGTCAGTTCAGGAAGCCATAGAATAGGTGTGTGTGTGTGACAGAGAGAGAGAGAGAGAGAGAGAGAGAGTGTGTGTGTGTGTGTGTGTGTGTGTGTGTGTGTGTGTGTGTGTGTGTATCCCGTGCGTGCACGTGCTGCTGGGCTTGCTATTTCTCTAGCTCTCTAGCAGCCACAAAGTGAAGATGGGAGTTCATTGTGTCTGCTAATTGTTGATCCCCTACAGGTTATGCTCAGTGGTGCCAGTACCCTCACCAGCCAGGACATTCAAGCCCTGTCCTATGGCCTGTGCCCAGCTCAGCCAGAGCGAGCCCAGGAGCTCTTGAATGAGGCAATAAGACGTATACAAGGCCAGATAGCACCAAGCAATGGGCACCTTGTCTTGGTGCTAGACAAGGTAAAGAATTGAGGCTTGTGGATAATGAGCACTAGCTCACCTCAGCCCCCTTCAGACTCCTGCATATTCCTGGATGGGGATAGTAACCCCAAGTGCTTTTTGCCCAGGACTTGCAGAAGCTGCCGTGGGAAAGCATGTCCATTCTCCGAACGCTGCCTGTCACCCGGCTGCCCTCTTTCCGCTTCCTTCTCAGCTACTCCATCACCAAAGAGGTGGGGCTTGGGGGTTGGGGGGTTGGGGATGAGTGGCAATTGGAGAAAGCTGAAAAAAGGGCAAAAAAAAAAATCCCTGGGAACATAGGAAAGTGTTTCAGCAGTGCTTCAGTTTGCTAGAGGTTGAGCCCTCCTGGTGAGGTCAAGGAAGGTCCTAATCACTGGTGTCTTTCCCTTTAGGCTGGGGCCTCATCGGTGCTGAGCCAAGGGGTGGATCCCCGAAGTACCTTCTATGTTCTCAACCCTCACAACAACCTGTCAAGCACAGAGCAGCAATTTCGAGCCCATTTTAGCAGGTCAGGGGGGACAAGGGCATTCATGGGAGTGAGGAAGGGTGGAGGCAGCATGCAGGAACAGCATATCTTTTCTCCAAAATTGATTGTTTCTGTCTACTGAGAGAAGCCCTCTTTGCCATATGATCCCTGCCAAGCGCTTACCTCTTCTTTGTTCTGCCCTTTCCCTGCAGTGAAGAAGGCTGGAAAGGGGTTGTCGGGGAGGTGCCAAGCCCTGAACAAGTACAGGCAGCCTTGACAGAGCATGACTTATATATGTGAGTACTTGGGGTAGAGAGGTAGGAGAGGGGAAATCCAAGGGGTAACATCAATGTTGGTTTGGCCCTTTAGAGTTTCTGCAAACAGACAGAAGCTTGGTACTGCCAGGTCAATGCTTACCTCACTTCCTCCTGCCTTAGCTATGCAGGACATGGGGCTGGTGCCCGCTTCCTTGATGGGCAGGCAGTTTTGCGACTGAGCTGCCGGGCTGTAGCCCTGCTGTTCGGCTGCAGCAGTGCAGCCTTGGCTGTGCATGGAAACCTAGAAGGGATTGGCATCGTGCTCAAGTACATCATGGCTGGCTGGTAAGGCTCCAGGGGGGAGAACTGTCCTAGGGCATTAAGATTCCTGACCCCAACCCAGGTTCTTTTCCAGATCCGAACCCTGAATCCTTTCCCTCTCAGGTCCCATCCTAGTTCCCTGACATACCTGAACCTTTCACCCTAAGCTTGCTTCTATTTTCCTACTAGAACTCTGGTTCAAGGGTGTTCCCCATTGGTTCAAGGCTCATACTCTACCTCACCCATAATCATTTCCATTGTATTCCTGATAGAGCCCTTACTTTACATTTCTCTCTTTTTTCCAGCCCCTTGTTTCTGGGTAATCTCTGGGATGTGACTGACCGTGACATTGACCGCTACACTGAGGCTCTGCTGCAGGGCTGGCTTGGAGCAGGCCCAGGGGCCCCCCTTCTCTACTATGTCAACCAGGCTCGCCAAGCTCCCCGACTCAAGTTTCTTATTGGAGCTGCACCTATAGCCTATGGTTTGCCTGTCTTCCTGCGATAGCACCCCTGAGCTGTTTTATTGCTGGTAGAATACATGTGACTCGTTTATCTACAAACTTAAATTTAACTTAATACTTAGGAAAATATTTTAAAATGATTTCCCCCAATGTTTTATATGGAGCATTTCCTTTCCATTTAATAAAATAAAGACCTATTACTAAAACCTTGTTTTGTGTAGTTTGTCTGAAAACATTTCAAGACAGCTGCTTCCCACTGGGAAGAGTTGGATTGTGGGGAGGGGTAATTAGGACTTGAACTGTAGGGCTAAGAGGGTTCTCCCTTTGTTTTTGTTATTGGTCATGGGACTTGAACTCAGCCTGGGCTCTGTCCCTGAACTCTTTTGCTCAAGGCTTTGAACCACAGAGCCACTTTCTGGTTTTCTGGTGGTTAATTGGAGATAAGAGTCTCATGGGAAGCCGGGCGCTGGTGGCTCATGCCTGTAATCCTAGCTACTCAGGAGGCTGAGATCTGAGGATCGCGGTTCAAAGCCAGCCCGGGCAGGAGAGACCGTGAAACTCCTATCTCCAATAAACCACCAGAAAACCGGAAGTGGCGCTGTAGCTCAAGTGGTAGAGCGCTCGCCTTGAGCTGAAGAGCTGAGGGACAGCGCCCAGGCCCAGAGTTCAAGCCCCACGGCCAACAAAAAAAAAAAAAAGAGTCTCATGGGCTTTTTTGCCAGAGCTGGCTTCAAACTGTCATCTTCAGATCTCAGCCTCCTGAGTAGCTAATATTGCAGGTGTCAGCTGCCAGCGGCCCAGCTCCAGTGTGTGTGTGTGTACTTGAACTGAGGGCCTGAGCACTGTTCCTGAGCATTTGTGCTCAAGGCTAGAGCTCTACCACTTGAGCCACAACTTAACTTCTGGCTTTTTGGTGGTTAATTGGACATAAGTCTCATGGACTTTTCCTGCCCATGTTGCTTGGAACTTTGGTTCTCAGATCTGTCTTCTGAGTGAGTTACCTAGGATTGCAGGCCTGAGCCATCAGCGACCTATGTTAGCCAGGTGCCAGTGGCTTATGCCTGTAATAACCCTATCTACTGTGGAGGTGGAGATCTGAGGGCCTCTGTTTGAAGCCAGCCCAGGCAGGAAAGTCCGTGAGATTTATGTCCAATAAACTACTCAGAAAAAGCCAGAAGTGGCGCTGTGGTACGAGTGCTAGCCTTGAGCACAAAGAAGCTCAGAGATAGCACCCAGGCCTTGAGTTCAAGTCCTAGGGCTGGCCAAAAGAAAGGATATTAAAGTATAATGCTAGAGGATGCAAGTCACTTTGGCTACTGTTTTAGGCTCCTTAGGACACTTTTTTTAATTCGTTATTATAAAGGTGATATACAGAGGCATGACAGTTGCATAAGTCAAGAGCACACTTTTTTTGTCCGTCACGGGGCTCGAACTCTGGGCCTGGGCGCTGTCCCTCAGCTCAAGGCGAGCGCTCTACCACTTGAGCCACGGCGCCACTTCGGGTTTTCTGGTGGTTTCGTGGAGAAAAGAGTCCCACAGACGTTCCTGCCAGGGCTGACTTTGAACCGCGATCCTCAGATCTCAGCCTCCTGAGTAGCTAGGATTACAGGTGTGAGCCACCGGCGCCCGGCAAGAGCACTCTCATACAGTGCAGTGCCGCCTCTTCCCTTCTTAGGACACTGGGTGAGAGGAACGCATGTATATTTCCTCCCATCTAGATCCCAGCTCCGCCTTTCCGGAACCGGGGGTCATAGAGACGTCCGGCACTGCGCGGCCTCCCGACGCAGCCATAGAGTGGCACATGGAGTTGCTGGAGCGCCGCTGGGCGAGTCTACTTCCTCCTCCGGAACCGTTCTTCCCCTTTCTCCTCCTCCTCAACATGGCGCAGTCGATTAACATCACGGAGCTGAATCTGCCACAGTTAGAGATGCTCAAGAATCAACTGGACCAGGTGGGGACGCGCCGCAGAGGCGCCTTTCCGCCCCTCCTGCACACGTGTGCCCCCACCATCATTCCCAGTTGTTTTTTTTTTTTTGGGGGGGGGGCGGCTTCCCTTCCCAGGCGAAACCCTTCTGGGGTCCCGGGACCCGCCCCCCTCGATCTGCTCCCTCCCACCCCCACCCGCACCCCAACGGTCTCTCCGCGCTCTGTAGGAAGTGGAGTTCTTGTCCACGTCCATCGCCCAGCTCAAGGTGGTGCAGACCAAGTACGTGGAAGCCAAGGACTGTCTGAACGTGCTGAACAAGAGCAACGAGGGTATGGCCGGGGAGGGGAGCCCGGGGGCCGGGGCCAGCCCGCCTTCTCCCCCAGAGATCTAGCCGGTCTGTGGTGTGCACCGCCTCACGCGTCCTTGCTCTGCATGCGGCCGACCGAGAGGTGCAGTGTTCAGCCCCGAACATTCTGTTCCCTTTTCTGCTCCGGTCACACCCCCGTTTCCGTACTTTGCATACTATCCGTAATGGTGGGCGCCGTGCCTTGTTGGAGCTCCTTGTAATATCCTCACGTGGGAGCGACCGACCTTCCCCAAGTATTTGCCTTCATTACTTTCACAGGGAAAGAACTACTCGTCCCACTGACGAGTTCTGTATCCTTTCCACAGGAACTGTTCCCGTGCCCTTCTCCTTTAATCTCCCACAGAGGGAGAGGGTTAATTACCCTAGAGTCCTTCTTCCTCCATGATTATTATTGTTGTTCTTGTTATTATTAGAGTCATTCTTCCTTTATTATTATCATTATTATCATCATCATCATCAAAAAATATCTATCTCAGGCGGTCTTGAACACACGATCTTCCTCCTGTCTCAGCCTCTCATGTCTGGGATAAGAGGCATGGACCATAAATAAGTTCACGTCCTCCTCCATGATTTTGAGAACACTTTTTTATGATCCACACTTTATCTAACCTTGGACCAACATCCATCTACTACGTCCTGAGTACCAAAGATTGGGAAGAATTGAAGTGTGATATTTCTCTTTGTTGTTAACCTATTATGGAGTTGAAGCTGGTGGTTCACACTTCTGATGATGTACAAGAGAAACAATAGGTAATAGAAAAATATGAAAACTGGGACATTGGCCCTGTTTTTACTCCTCAGTTTAGCTTAATCATGCCTCATTCCTAAATTACTTTCACTAAGAAACATGGATTGTGCCTCTCTTGTATATTTTATTTAAAATTGAGCAGATTATGGAAATAGGATGTCTAAAGTCTTATTTATGAACTGATAGGCTAAAAGAACTATCGGAATAGCAGTGTGGTGGGAAGTGGCTTAAATAATGGCCTTTAAATTTTTGTGGTTGAAGAGAGGCTGGCTTTTTTTTTTTTTGGTCGGTTGTGGGGCCTGAACTCTGGGCCCAAGTGCTGTCCATCAGCTCTTCAGCTCAAGGCTAGCACTGTACATAGTGCCACTTCCGGCTTTTCCTGTTTATGTGGTGCTGAGGAATCAAACCCATGGCCTCATGCATGCAAGGCAAGCACTTGACCACTGAGTCACTTTCCCAGCCCTGGCTTTTTTTTTTTTTTTAAACATACATTATTCTAGTGTAGGAAAGCATTATTGTTGCTGGTCTTTCTAAAAGGTCCAATGGGAAAAGATAGAGAAACTGCCTGAATGATGAGAATGGACGTAGTACGTGAGTGTTCCTGCATATGTCATTTTTTGCATAAGGAACCAGCTTCTCTGTCTCCATTTGGAGTTATAGGTAGTCCTAAAACCGTAGTTCTAAAATCTTTGTATTATCCAATTCTCATGTTCTGTAGATTTTTAGAAAAGGAAGGTCTTAAGAGGTCTATCAGGCTAAAGACAGAATCATGGCTCATCCTGGGCTAGTTTTCCCCTTAATCCTTGCTTCTCAGATGTATGTCCCTGGGAAGTTACATGATGTGGAGCATGTGCTCATCGATGTGGGAACTGGCTACTATGTGGAGAAGGTGAGTAGGAGGAAACGTGGATATCCCCCTCAACATGGAAGGAGGGTTTAAGGGAAGAGTAAGATTGGTCTCCTTTTATTCCTTGTTCACTTCTGTGTTACAGACAGCTGAAGATGCTAAGGACTTCTTCAAGAGGAAGATAGACTTTCTCACCAAACAGATGGAGAAAATCCAGCCAGCTTTGCAGGAAAAGCATGCCATGAAACAAGGTAAACTCTGACTGAGACACCTCTTGATTCTTTTTTTTTTTTTTTTTGGGTCTGGTCGTGGGGCCTGAACTCTGGGCCTAGGCGCTGTCCCTCAGCTCTTCAGCTCAAGGCTAGCGCTCTACCACTGGAGCCACAGCGCCACTTCCGGCTTTTTTCTTTTTGCTTATGTGATGCTGAGGAATCGAACCCAGGGCCTCATGCATGTAAGGCAAGCACTCTACCACTGAGCCACCTTCCCAGCCCCCTCTTGATTCTTTCCACCTATACCTTAAAGAAAGGATTGGAGGACCGGGCACTGGTGGTTTACGCCTGTAATCCTAACTACTCAGGAGGATCGTGGTTTAGAGCACCGGTGGCTCACACCTGTAATACTAGCTACTCAGGAGGCTGAGATCTGAGGATTGAGGTTCAAAGGCAGCCAGGGCAGGAAAGTCTGTAAGACTCTATCTCCAATTAACCACCAGAAAACCAGAAGTGGTGCTGTGGCTCGAAGTGGTATAGTGATAATCTTGAACAAAAAGCTCAAGGACAGTGCTGGGCCCTGAATTCAAGCCCTACCACCAACAAAAGAAAAGAAAAGAAAAGATTGCACTGTGAATCTGCACTCAGATTCACAGTGCAATCTTCCTGGATTAAAACCATGTCTTAATGTTATTCTCTAAATGATTCATGCCTATCATTTATAGATTCTGTATGTTTAGAGAAAGAAAATCATGGCTATCCTATTGTAAAATGTTATTTATAGAACAGGGATTGGACAGAGATGCACATAAACGTACAAGAACTAGCTGCAAATTAGAAGCCCTCCTTAGAGTTTAAATAGAGCTTTGGAGACTGGAAGTGTGGCATAAGTATGAAGCCTTGAGTTAAATCTACAAAATCTGAGCCCATCCTAGATCAGCTATTATCAACCTAGATATGGGGAATAGAGGGTCCAGGGTGTCAGTGTTTTTTACCACAAGGTGGTTGGAATTGAGACTGATTCTAAAGGCAAAAGGGATTTTTAAATTTTCTTGTATTGAGGGCTGGGAAGGTGGCTCAATGGTAGAATGCTTGCCACACATGCATGAGGCCCTGGGTTCAATTCCTTAGCACTACATAAACAGAAAAAAAAGCCAGAAGTGGCACTGTGGCTCAAATAGTAGAGCACTATCCTTGAGCTCACTGAAGAGCCGAGGGACAGCGCCCAGGCCCAGAGTTCAAGCCCCACAACCGACCAAAAACAAAACAAAACAAAACAAAAAACCTCCAAGGGAGGGTGGAAAAAAATATTTTTTCTGGGCTGGGAAGGTGGCTCAGTGGTAGAGTGCATGCCTTGCATGCCAGAGGCCCTGGGTTTGATTCCTCAGCACCACATAAGCAAAAAGAAAAAAGCCGGAAGAGGCACTATGGCTCAAGTGGTAGAGCACTAGCCTTGAGCTGAATAGCTGAGGGACAGCGCCAGGCCCAGAGTTCAGGCCCCATGACGGGACAAAAAAAAAAAAAAAAAAAATATATATATATATATATATATATATATATTTTTTTTTTTCTTTTTTTTTTTTTCTGTACAGGCATTGAACCCAGGGTCTCCTGTTTGCTGGACCAGTGATCTACATACTTACCCTCTAAAAAAATTTTTTTTTGTTGGTCATGGAGCTTGGACTCTAGGCCTGAGTGTTTGTCCCTCAGCTCTTCAGCTCAAGGCTACAGTGCCACTTCTGGTGGTTTATTAGAGATAAAGAGTTTCATGACTTTTCCTGTCTGGGTTGGCTTTAAACCATGATCCTCAGATCTCAGGCTCCTGAATAGCTAGGATTACTGGTGTGAGCCACCAGCTCCGGGTTTCTAAAATATTTTCCACATTAAATTTTCTGATTATAGTGAAAAGCTTATTTTTATATCCCAGTGGGTACCGTGTTGACTGGCACATTGTAAATAAGTTTATATTGGTATATGTACAGTGGATAACTTTTTTTAAAGTTCAAGGTAGCCAACTACAGTCCACCTGTCTGTCGCCTTAACTCTAGTTTCTCCCCTTCAGTTCCTGACTAGAAAATGACTCTTCCTTTTTTCCCCCACAGCTGTCATGGAAATGATGAGCCAGAAGATTCAACAGCTCACAGCCCTGGGGGCAGCTCAGGCTACTGCCAAGGCCTGAGAGTATGTTGGAGAAACGGGGCAGGGGGGATCCCACTTCAAGGGGCCTGGGACCTGATGGCATGGCCTTCTGGTGGTGGGGAAGGGAAGAGTCTTGTGTTTAACGCTAATAAATGTGCCCTCTGGGCAGAATGTTTTTCTTTCCTTGCATTAATAGCCTGGGACTGGTGTATGGAAGGGGCGTGGTGGAGAGGGTGGGCGGGGCCTCCCAGTGTCAGCAGAGCTGCGAGGATTGCCGCTCTCCGCCCGCGTGGGATGGTTGCCTTGGGAACCGCGGGCAAGCGGAAGTGGGACCTTGCGGGGCTTCCCCTTCCGGGTCGACGTTCGCACCTCCCTGCCCCGGGAGCCTCATGAGCCACCGCTTCCTGCTTCTGCTATCCGGGTCACTCCTCCAAACCCGCTGCCGCATGCTCAGCCCCGACCCCATCCTGCCTCCTAAAAGGTCTCGCAGCGACCTCATGGCACGGCCTCGGATCGGGACGCACAACGGCACCTTCCACTGCGACGAGGCGCTGGCGTGCGCACTGCTTCGCCTCCTGCCGGAGTACAAGGTGAGCCGCCTGGGCCGCGAGCCACGGGGGCCCAGCTCCCGGCCCGCGTCCCCGGAAGGTCCCCGGCGTCTGCCTGTGTCTCGGACGGGGTCCCTGACTAGGTCCCCCGAGCCCCGCCCCGCCTGGGAACTCAACCCTCCGTCAGAGCCACCCTCTCCTGGCAGCCCCTCACCTCCTTGTCTCCCGACAGGATGCAGAGATTGTGCGGACGCGGGACCCTGAAAAACTGGCTTCATGTGATATCGTTGTGGATGTGGGTGGCGAGTACGACCCTCAGAGACACCGCTATGACCATCACCAGAGGTGGGTTTCCCGACTTCTCTGATGTCAGCTTTCCTCTGCTCCAGTTGGGCCCTCCACTGCCGAGGCCCATGTGGGCCAACGGAACTGCTGGGTCATTGAAGTCAGACTCCAGGCTGCAGCTAATCCCCTGGCATATCTCCTCAGTCTGCATCCTCCCTTTGTTGGCTCCCAGTTACTCCTTAACACCCGTCAATGGGAATCCATTCATCCTCCTTGTTGCCCCAATCCAGACTTTATTTACTCTCTTCCACTTTGAAGCTCTTGTTCAAGGTAGGCCATTATCCACAACACCACTGCAATCCTTTTCCCTCACAGAAATCCTCACACCTCAGTGAGCAGTCCCATCACAGCCTCCTCAACGAAATGGAGCTCTCTTTGCACTCATTTCCCCAGTTTCCCATCTTCAGAAACCCTCCTGATGACTTTCTCTCCTCTGGGACTTCACATTACAATTCTGTCCACTACCACCTGTTTTTCCTTTGCTACTGCCTAAAACTATTCAAGCCTCTTCCATCTTGAAAAAAAAAATCTTTCCTCAGTTATGTTATACTAATCCACTATATTGTTAAAATTAGTTTATTACCAGTTTCCCGTAGCTCACGCCTGTAATCCTACATACTCAGGGGGCTCAGATCTAAGGGTCGTGGTTCAAAGCCAGCCCAGGCAGGAAAGTCCTTGAGACTTTTATCTCCAATTAACCACCAGAAAATCAGAAGTGGCCAGTGCTGGTGGCTTACGCCTGTAATACTAGGTGTTTAAGATGCTGAGATCTGAGGATTGTGGTTTGAAGCCAGCCCAGACAGAAAAGTCCATGATACTCTTATCTCCAATAAACTACTCAGAAAAAGCAGTAGTGACACTGTAGCTCAAGTAGTAGAGCTCTAGCCTTGAGCTAAAGAAGCTCAGGGACATTGCCCAGGACCTGAGTTCAAACCCCAAGGCCAGGGGAAAAAAAATTAGTTATCCCTTGAGAGGTTGTAAAAATGTCTTTAGGGAGGCTAGGAAGGTGGCTTAGTGGTAGAGCGCTTGCCTTGCATGCATGAGGCCCTGGGTTCGATTCCTCAGCACCACATAAGCAAAAAGAAAAAGCCGGAAGTGGCGCTGTGGCTCAAGTGGTAGAGCGCTAGCCTTGAGCTGAAGAGCTGAGAGGGACAGCGCCCAGGTCCAGAGTTCAGGCCCCACGACCGGACCCCAAAAAAAAATGTTTTAAGGTTCTATTCCTTTGTCTTCTTTTTCCCTTGGTTTTTGTTTGTACATATACCATCTTTGTGCTCAAGGCTAGTACTCTATCAGTTGAGCTGGAGTTCCACTTCCAGATTTGGTGGTTAATTGGAGACGAAGAGTTGCAAGGACTATCCTGCCCATGCCGGCTTTAAACCATGATCTGCGCACCTCAGACTCTTTAGTAGCTAGAATTACAGGCATGAACCACCAGCAAAAAGAAATGTTTTTGATACGATACTTACAACCTAATCTCTCACTCTCACATCTCAACTAAACACTGGAGTCACCTCTCCTTTCCTCAGCCCACTCCCAGTGACACTCCCCACCACCCTCCCCCCAGAACTGCTCAGAGAGGTAGCACTAGCATCCTCAGTACCAAACCAGGGAGCTGGCACAACTTACCTTAACCAGCCCTTTGTGGTACTTGGCATTTTTTTTACTGTTTTCTCTCTCTTCAGTGGTTTGACTATAGGCACATTAAAACATTCAGTACTTGATATATAGAAGAGCATAAAGTGAACATCTTTGAACCAATCTCTTAATCTAAAATCAGATTACCTTTACATCTGTACCTATGTGTTTATTCCCACATAAGCAATATTCAAAGTTCTGGGTAAGCAATATTTTTTTGGGGGGGCGGGGGGTCCACTGAGCCACCTTCCCAGCCCGTAAGTTCTATGTTCTCTACTTGTTCACTCTCTATGCAGTTTACCATGTCTATTTTCATCAACAATATATTCCATTTTCTTTTTTTTTTTTTTTTGCCTGTCGCTCGTGGGGCTTGAACTCTGGGCCTGGACACTGTCCTTTCAGCTCAAGGCGAGCGCTCTACCACCTGAGCCACAGCACCACATCCAGTTTTCTGGTGGCTAATTGGAGACAAGAATCTCACGGACTTTCCTGCCCAGGCTGGCTTTGAACTGTCATCCTCAGATCTCAGCTTCCTGAGTAGCTAGGATTACAGGTGTGAGCCACCGGCGCACTTTAAACTTTAGGGATTATTGTGTCATTTGTGTTTGTTTGTTTTGTTAGTGGGGCTTGAACTCTGGGCCTGGGTGCTGTTCCTCAGCTCTAGGCTAGCACTCTACCACTTGAGCCACAGCACCATTTCTGGTTTTCTGGTGGTTTATTGGAAATAAGAGTTTCACAGACTTTCGTGCCTGGGCTGGCTTTGAACTGCAATCCTGAAATCTCAGTCTCCTGAGTAACTAGAATTACAGGTGTGAGCCACCAGCACCCAGTGTGTCATTTGTTTTTATACCTTGTAAATAGTTTATATTCTGCGTCTATTCAATGTTTAATAATAAAAGCTATTGGGCTGGGAAGGTGGCTCAGTGGTAGAGTGCTTGCCTTGCATGCATGAGGCCCTGGGTTCAATTCCTCAGCACCACATAAGCAGAAAAAAAAAAAAAAAGCTGGAAGTGGCACTGTGGCTCAAGTGGTAGAGCGCTAGCCTTGAGCTGAAGAGCTGAGGGACAGCGCCCAGGCCCAGAGTTCAGGCCCCACGACCAGACCAAAAAAACAAACAAACAAACAAATAATAAAAGCTATTGAACATGTATGTGATTCTGAGATGATCGGTATTCAGGAATCAGCTGAGTTGTCTGGAGGTGAAGCTCAGTGGTACAGTACAGTATGTGCTTAGTATGCTCAAGGCTCTAGGTTTGATCCTCAGTACCAAAAATATAAACGTAATTCTTATAATAGAAATTGTGCCTGCAGTTTTTACTTCCCTAACACCGACCCACTGCTGTTCACATTCCAGCCTTTCTTACTTACATGGACCATTATAGTTAATCTTGAATTTGTTCTCCATATTGGCTAGTACAGCACTAACCTGTGCTTACCTACCTAAAGACTCCCAGGGGCCATCTACAGATAAAACCCAAAGTAGCATGCAAGGTTTACCTGCCATTTCACCTCATCTTTTGCCACTTAACCCCCCCTCATAACTAAAGCTGCCTTTCTTGCAGTTCCATAAGGAGACTGCTGTAGGCTGGATGTTTCCTCTGCTGGAATGTCTTCCCTCACCCCTTGTCTGTCTAGTGAATATCCATTATATTTTTCAGGATTGAACTGAAAACATTTCCCTGAATCCTTTCCTTCATCCCCTACCTCCTTTACCTTGCCATAACCTAGCTAGAGTACAGTCAGCTCTCCATATCTGTAGGTTCCATGTCTGTCTATGGGCTCAACCAACAATGGATCAAAAAAATTAAGTGTAAATTAATTGTACAAAGAGATTTTATTAGCCGGGTGCTGGTGGCTCACACCTGTAATCCTAGCTACTCCGGAGGCTGAGATCTAAGGATCAAAGTTCAAAGCCAGCCCAGGCAGGAAAGTCCGTGAGACTCTTATCTCCAATAAACCACTAGAAAACCAGAAGTGGCACTGTAGCTCAAGCAGTAGAGTGCTTGCCTTGAGCTAAAGAGGGCAGGGACAGCGCCTACACCCAGAGTTCAAGCCCCGTGACTGATCAAAAAGGGGGGGGAGGTTTATTGTGATATTTATGTACTCATAATATTTGAGATTTTGTGTTGTTTGTGTCCATGTCATGGAGCTTGAACTCAGGGCCTAAGTGCTGTCCTGATCTTTTTTTGTTCAAGGCTAGTGCTCTGCCACTTGAGTTATAACTCCACTTCTGGCTTTTTGGTGGATAATTGCAGATAAGAGCCTCACAGACTTTCCTGCCTGAGCTAGCTTCAAACCACATTCCTCAGATTTCAACCATCTGAGAAGCTAGGATTATAGGCATGAGCCACTGGCACCCAGCTTTTTTTTTTTTTTTTTTTTTTTTTAATTTAAGTTGCATCTGTATTGACTATGTCCGGATTATAAGTAATCTAGAGATGATTTAAAGCATACAGGAAGGGCATACAGTATATAAAAGACCTTTCGGTTTCTATAGGGGGTTCTGGACCTAGTCCCCCCCAGGTATTGACTATCTGTGTAGTTACTTGGTTGGTGTGTTTGTCTACCTCCTGCAGATGAATTTTTTTTTTCCCCCAATCATGGGCCTGAACTCTGGGCCTGGGACTGTCCCTCAGCTCTTCAGCTCAAGGCTAGCACTCTTACCACTTGAGCCATAGGGCCACTTCCAGCTTTTTTGCCTATGTAGTGCTGAGGAATTGAACCCAGGACCTCATGTTTGCAAGGCAAGCACTCTACCACTGAGCTACCTTCCCAGCCCCCAGCCGATGAATTTGACAGGAAAAGTCAAGATCTTAGCTCTTTCTCCTAAGTGTGTAAAACACAAAACATGGAAAGTAGTAAGAATTGAGTTCTAGCTGTTGTTGAGTAACATACAGTGTCCTCATCCACTGACCACCCATGTATGCACTGTGCCCTCACACACACCCAACTGGGTTAGCCAGGGCCAGCTCCTTCACCTCAGCCCCAACTCCCTGTGTTCCCCAGGACTTTCACAGAGACCATGAGCTCCCTGTGCCCTGGGAAGCCGTGGCAGACCAAGCTGAGCAGTGCGGGATTGATCTATCTGCACTTCGGGCACAAGCTGCTGGCCAAGTTGCTGGGCACTAGTGAAGAGGACAGCATTGTGGGCACCCTCTTTGACAAGGTGGGGACTGAGGACAGAGATGTCCACTTGTGCATTCTCTACCAGCCTGGCTGGGAGTGGCACTCAAGCAGCACTATACTAGGCATTGGGTTGGGGGTTCCTGGACCATATGGGACCCAACAGTCACCCTCCTGTCAGGCTCATCTCTCACAGGATGGTCTCTTCCCATCTGCATCCTGGTGGCTGTGACGAATGGATGACTTAATACGTGAGAAGGGCTTTGTGTTTTATGTTTTAAAGATGGGGTGCTATTGGCCAGGCTGGACTTAAACTCCTTAGCTGGAACTACAGGTGTAACCCTCTACCTTTCTCAGGAAGGGCTTTGAAAGCCACAAAAGCAGAATTTCACAAATGTATGGCAGCATTTCCTGGCATACATAAAAAACAAATGCTTAGTCAGGCGCCAATGGCTCACACCTGTAATCCTAGCTACTCAGATGTCTGAGATCTGAGGATCACAGTTGAAGCCAGCCCAGGCAGGAAAGTCCATGAGACACTTTTTTTTTTTTTTTTTTTTTTTTTGGTCAGTTGTGGGGCTTGAACTCTGGGCCTGGGCACTGCCTCTCAGCGCTTCAGCTCAAGGCGAGCGCTCTACCACTTGAGCCATAGCATCACTCTGTTTGGTTGATTGGAGATAAGAGTCTCACTGACTTTCTTGCCCAGGCTGGCTTTGAACCACTATCCTCAGATCTCAGCCTCCTGAGTAGCTAAGATGACAGTCATGAGCCACCAGCACCCAGCTCCATGAGACTCTTATCTCCAATAAACTAGCCAGAAAAAGCCAGAAGTGGCACTATGGCTCAATTGGTAGAGTGCTAGCCTTGAGTACAGAGAGGCTCAGGAACAAAGCCTAGGTCCTGAGTTCAAGCCCGGGTCTGGCCAAAAAAAAAAAAGTTTAAGCCAGTCACTGGTAGCTCATGCCTGTAATCCTAGCTGGGATCTGAGGATTATGGTTCGAAGCCAGCCCAGGCAAGAAAGTCCATGAGAGAGACCCTTATCTCCAATAAAAGCCAGAAGTGGAGCTTTGGCTTAAGTATTAGAGCACTAGTTCTGAGCAAAAAAACTCAAGGACAGCACCCAGCCTCCTGAGTTCAAGCCCAAGACTGGGGTGAAGGGGAGATTGCTCTGTACCTTCCAGTAGAGAAGGCAGCTGGTACTTGGTTTCCCCGAAGGAGGAGAAGAGCCTATCTTGGGCATCATTGTAATTCACTGGTGATAGGAAAGGCGAGAAGGACTTACTACAAAAACGTCTTCAGGTTCCACCAGTGTCCTCTGCAAGCAGCTTTTGGATGTTGTGAAACAAGGCTGGTGGCTTTGGCCAATCCATTCAAATATAATGGACACCTATATGACCCTCCTATGAAGTTCATACATCAAACTTCAAATTCACTCAGTCCCACCACCACCCCAAAAAAACAACAACAACAACAAAAAATACAATTGACTGAATCTGAAGTTGTTGTTTTGGTTGGTCGTGGGGCTTGAACGTCTGGGCTTGGACACTGTCCCTGTGTTCTTCAGCTCAAGGCGAGCGCTCTGCCGTTTGAGCCACAGCACCACTTCTGGTTTTCTGGTGGTTTATTGGAGATAGGGGTCTCAAGGACTTTCCTGCCCCAGCTGGCTTTGAACCCTGATCCTAAGATTTCAGCCTTCTGAGTAGCTAGGATTACTGGCGTGAGCCACCGGCACCTGGTTTCAGTCAGGTTTTTTTTTGTTTTGTTTTTTGGGTCCTGTCGTGGGGCCTGAACTCTGGGCCTGGGCGCTGTCCCTCAGCTCAAGGCTAGTGCTCTACCATTTGAGTGCTACCACTTCCGGCTTTTTTCTTTATGCTTATGTGGTGCTGAGGAATCGAACTCAGGGCCTCAGGCATGCAAGGCAAGGGCTCTACCACTGAGCCACCTTCCCAGCCCCCAGTCAGTTGTTTTGTAAGTAGGCTGTTGAGTCCAGTTCTCAGACTTACCTCATCAGCTTCTTCTGTTTCATGACACAGAATTAGGGCACCAAGGGTGATGTAGCTGGGCACTGGTGGCTCATGTCTGTAATCTAGCTAGTCAGGAGGCTGAGATCTGAGGATCATAGTTCAAAGCCCTGGGCAGGAAAGTCCATGAGATTCTAAGATTCTTATTGCCAGTTAACAACCAAAAAACAGCAGGAAGTGGAGCTATGTGGTAGAGCACTAGCCTTGAGTACAAAAGGTCAAAGACAGTGCACAAACCCTGAGTATAAGTCCCAGGACTGGCTCATACACCCCACCCCACCCCAAAAAATTGGATTACCAGTGGCTCAGACCTGTAATCCTAGCTACTCAAGAAGCTGGGGATCTGGGAAATCACAAGGTAAAGATAGCACAGGCAGAAAAGTTTGCTAGACTACATCTCCAATTAGCCAGCAAAAAGCTAGGCTGGGGTTATGGCTCAATTGGTAGAGCTCCAGCTGTAGCTGATTTGCTCAGTACCTTTGAATAGAAAAGGCCCCAAGTTAAAAACCCCTTTATCATCCAAGGTCAAAAACAAAATGAGCAAAAATCAGGGCTGGAGGTATGGTTCAAGAGGCAGTTGGAGTGCCTGTCTAGTAACCATGGAACCATGAATTCAAACCTCCTGCCACCAAACTAAAGTCATCTATCACCTTCCCACACATCTGGCCTAGGTTTGGGCTTTGTATGATGGAACCAGACATTGGCTAGAAGTCAGGTTAGCTGGGCACTAGTGGCTCACGCCTGTAATCCTAGCTACTCAGGAGGCTGAGATCTGAGGATCATGGTTCAAAGAAAAGTCCATGAGACTCTTACTGCCAATAAACTACTAGAAAACCAGAAATGGTGCTGTGGCTCAAGTGGTAGAGCACTCGCCTTGAGCTGAAGAGCGCTGCTGGGACAGTGCCCAAACCCAAAGTTCAAGCCTCACGACTGACCAAAAAAAAAAAAGTCAGGTGACCTGAATTTCAATCCCACCACTCTTAACACTGACTTTGAACAAGCCACTGAACTCTACATTTCTCCCTCTCCTTGTCTGGTTGCCTCAAGATCCCCACAAGGCTGAGTGTGTGATCATGGTATAAGCCTAGATGGATTTACACAAACGGTAAGTTTTCCTCAAGAGCACTTTCCTTGCTGTTACTTTAGATGTATGAGAACTTCGTGGAGGAGGTGGATGCAGTGGACAATGGAATCTCCCAATGGGAAGAGGGGGAGCCTCGATATACTCTGACCACTACTCTGAGTGCCCGCGTGGCTCGGCTTAACCCCACCTGGAACCAGCCCAACCAGGACACCGAGGTATGGAGAGCCCCTGGGAAGGAACCCTGAGGTGGTATGTAAGATCCTCAGAAGGAACACTATATAAAGTTTGAGCCAGCACTAAGGTTCTGATTCCCAGCATTCTCAGGCAGGCTTCAAGCGCGCAATGGACCTGGTTCAAGAGGAGTTCCTGCAGAGACTAGATTTCTACCAGCACAGCTGGCTGCCGGCCCGGGCCTTGGTGGAAGAGGCCCTGGCCCAGCGATTCCAGGTATTGGCTTGGGAGGAGGACACATTGTGGCTTTAGGATTAGTGACAGCTGGTAGGCACCTGCTTCTATCCAGACCTAGCCAGGCCCTACTTCCTTTTCAGGTGGACCCAAGTGGGGAGATAGTGGAGCTGGCAAAAGGTGGATGCCCCTGGAAAGAACATCTATTCCACCTGGAATCTGGGCTATCCCCACCAGTAGCTATCACCTTTGTTATCTACACTGACCAGAATGGACAGTGGAGAGTCCAGTGTGTGCCCAAGGAGGCCCACTCTTTCCAAAGCCGGTAAGTAAGGCCCCAGGAACCACCGTGCACTCCTTCGTGATGTTTCATTTGCTCTCCTCTCAGCTCCTCGGGCTTCCATTTGCTCCCAATTCTCTTTCCGCTCACTTGTAGGCTGCCTCTGCCAGAACCATGGCGGGGTCTTCGGGATGATGCTCTGGACCAGGTGAGTGGGATCCCTGGATGCATCTTTGTCCATGCCAGTGGCTTCATTGGTGGTCACCGCACTCGAGAGGGTGCCTTGAGCATGGCCCGTGCTACTCTGACCCAGCGCACAGCAACTATGCCTTCTGAAAATCCTCCAAGCCAATAAAACCTCCATCTCCTACTAGCCCGGTCTCTGTCCCATTATTGCCCCCCACCATCTGTGCTCGGATGTGGGGACAACAAAACGTATGTTAGAGGTGAGACCTACCCCGGTATTTACATTACCATTTCTCACCTTTTCTTCTAAATCACAAATAGCTTAGAGATGACAGAACAGGATCTTAACTTGTCAAAGTCCATGCCTTTTTCCCTCACTATACCCAATGTAGCTCCTTGGAAGACAGAATCAAATGGAAGACAAAATTTTATTAGAGGTGAGGGTGAGGGGAGTACGGCTGACCAGATGGCCCTGGAAGAGAGTCCCAAGGGGCAGAGGTTGGTGATGTCTCTGTAAAGAGTGGCAGCTCATGAACAGAGCCTCCACCTCCAGCTGGGGGCTCTTGGGTCCGGCCAATCACTGGGCTAAACCGTGGAAACTGGGCATTGACAAAGTACAGAGGGATGTGGGCAATCCGGCCTGTGGACCAGCACTGCGGGAAGAAGAGAGAAAAGTATCAGAGCCTGGGCCCAAAGGTACCCTCATGGCATCGTGGCAGAACCACACGGCAGCTAAGGCCTTGGGCTTCCCCAACCCACCCGAAAGCCGGGCAGCCAGGCAGACTTACCACACTGAGCAAGGCTCCTTTGTTGAAGGAAGGATGGAAAGTGATGAGCTGGGCCTGGGCTCCTGGCTCCCCCTGGATGATGCCACTAGGCAAGAAGAGAAATGGATAAGAAGAGAAAGCAGGTGTCATTTGGTTTTGTATGGGATGGTGGAGGCCAGGACCCACACTTACCAGGGAAGAAGCTCAAACACAGGGCTGTTTCGGGTACGAAAAAGGAGGATGACTGGTTTCCCATCCTGCACTCGTGGGTTGCCTGTAAGAAATGGGCCTTGGGTGGGGGAGGGGGCTCCAGGCAGAGCCCCAGGGCAGGGGCAGAAAACAGCCAGGCATAGCACACTCTATTATGGGAAGATGAGTGGCCTAAGAGCCCTTCCTGGGCTGGGAAGGTGGCTCAGTGGTAGAGTGCTTGCCTTGCATGTATGAGGCCCTGGGTTCAATTCCTCAGCACCACATAAGCCGAAAAGTGGCACTGTAGTTCAAGTGGTAGAGCACTAGCCTTGAGTTGAAGAGCTGAGGGACAGCCCTCAAGCTGAGTTGCAGTCCCACTACCAACAAACAAAGAAAAATAGCCCTTCCTCTCCTCTTACCTTTCATGAGCACAGCCAAGCGCTCCCCACTGGGGTCCCAGACCATGGAATGGGCCTCTCCTCCAAGCCTATGGGTGAGGACAGGAGGTCAGGGGCACTCAGTGCAACCCCTCTTGCCAATCCAGTACACTCAACTCACCTCTGCTCACCATCTAGGGTCTGTATTGTTGTCTCAGACAGATCTGCCACAATTGTTGCTGATTTTGCACCTCCAACACGCCCTTTTCCCTCACCTGTGGACAAGGACAGAGGCTCTTGGTACAGGAAACAGCTCTCCTCCCCTGACAGCTCATCACAGCTACATCTCAAAGTCTCAGGTTCTTTTTGTGTGTGCTAGCACTCAACCTGGTATTATACAACTTGAGCCACCGCTCTACTTCAGGCTTTTTTTTTTTTTTTTTGGTAGGTCATTGGAGATAAGTCTCATGGATTTTCCTGTTCAGGCTGGCTTTGAATTGTGGTTCTCAGATCTCTGCCTTTAGCCTTCTGAATAGTTAGGATTACATGCATGAGCCACCAGGCCCAGCTTCTCAGTTTATGCTTTCCTTTATTGCTGAGTAGCAACCTACAGGTTACTGCATTCTGAATTATTGCATTAACTCACCACAACGGTCTGGGAATGACAGAGAGTAAATCAATGGCTCCCCTAATACTGTAAACAGCAGTCGGTTTCCATCTGGGCTCCAGCAGCCAGTCTAGGGTAAGGAAGCAGAAGGGAGAAGGGAGGTCTAGATGAGCTTTCAGGAGGGGAAAAGAAGTAAAGGAGGTAGGGAGCCAGACCTAGGGATCAGAGGCTCATTAGAATCACCTCCCCAGCTTCTGGGATCACTCATGCCCTCTTACCTGACAGCGCCCTGACAGTGTAGGCCATCTCTCACAAGTCCACATCTGGGCCTCCCAGACTCTTGAGCCAAAGATAGGCAAATGACAGATCAGGGCTTCCAGGCTCCAAAAGGTAGTTCAACCTCCCAGCAATCCTAGTGTCAGATCCCAGGAGAAAGTACCTTTCTCTCAGTCCTTGCCCTCCCTTAACCCTTCTCCCACTCACCGAAAGACAGGTGAAGGAGTAGTTGCTAAGACTTTGCTGCCATCTGGGGACCAGAGCAGGTTGGTAACTCCACCTCCTCGAAACCATGGGAGGGGGACACAGATCTCTGTCGAAATATCCCATACCTAGGAGAGAGGACAGGAAAGGGAGACAAGAAACTCAGGCACCTATCTGCTCATGTGAGCTGCTGCCTTCTTAAACGTATAAAAAAACAGAAAGGGGAGAAGGCAGGAAAGGGATACAGGCTTAGGTTTACAGTGATAGGCGTTTTTGGAGCTGAGGAGTCCCATGTGGTGAGGCTCTTCCCCTGGCAAGCTGAAGAATGGAAAATAATCCCCCTCTTTTCCCTATGATACTTTCTAACATGAAGAAAGCTCTTTTCAAGAGCTGAAGTGGTGAGAGAGCTAGAGATGGACTCACCAGGATAGCAGCATCCACAGGGGAAGCGGAGAGCAGCCTTCCCCCACTGGGTGCCCAGGCCAAGCTGGTGACAGGTGTGTGCCCAGGATGAGACAACACTTGGGCACAGCCAGAAGAAGGCCTGCCAAGGGGAAATGGAGGAGTCAGAAGACAGCAAGAATGGCCTCGTGATTGCTTGTCCTTGCTTCTGTTAGAACCTCCCAATCCCAATGGCCCCTCGGAGTTCATAGCCAGGTTGAGGAAAAGACATAGGGATTACAAATGTTAAAGATGGAAACAAGTGAAGGAAGGAAATCCTGACTGGGAGGTGATTGAGATCAGGAGTGTACAGAGAAGGAAGGTGAAGTCTTGTAGTTCCTGACCAGTGATGCTAGAAGGGGCTGCACTGTCAAGAGTCATGCCACACCCATGATCCCGGATCACCCATGGTATACCACAAGGCTTCAACTCCCTCTTCTCCACGTTTCCTACCATTCCCCAAAACATGGGATCTAGGGGCTGGGAAGGTGGCTCAGTGGTAGAGTGCTTGCCTTGCATGCATGAGGCCCTGGGTTCGATTCCTCAGCACCACATGAGCAAAAAGAAAAAAGCCGGAAGTGGTGCTGTGGCTCAAGTGGCAGAGCGCTAGCCTTGAGCTGAAGAGCTGAGGGACAGTGCCCAGGCCCCGAGTTCAGGCCCCACGACCGGACCAAAAAATAAAATAAATAAATAAATACATTGGAGCCAGGTGCCGATGACTCACACCTGTAATCCTAGCTACTCAGGAGGCTGAGATCTGAGGATCACAGTTCAAAGCCAGCCTGGGCAAGAAAGTCTATGAGACTCTTATCTCCAATTAACCACCAGAAAACCAGAAGTGGCACCGTGGCTCAAGTGGTAGAGTGCTCGCCTTGAGCTGAAGAGCTGAGGGGGGACAACACCCAGGTCCAGAGTTCAAGTCCCATGACTAGGAAAATAAAAAAGCTCATGGACAGTGCCCAGGCCCTCAGTTCAAGCCCCAGGACTGGCAAAATAAGTAAATAAATCAACAAATATTTCTGAAGTTATATCATTCTATAGTCTAAACAACGTTTAACTTCCAATTTTCTTCGCTTTTACTGGATACAATTAAACATTGATTTTAATAATTCTATCATCCTGAATAGACTAGAAATATTCTTTTTTTTTTTTTTGGCTGGTCCTGGGGCCTGAACTCTGGGCCTGGGCGCTGTCCCTCAGCTCTTCAGTTCAAGTCTAGCACTCTACCACTTGAGCCACAGTGCCACTTCCAGCTTTTTCTGCTTATGTGGTGCTGAGGAATCGATCCCAGGGCCTCACGCATGCAAGGGGCAAGCATTCTACCACTGAGTCACCTTCCCAGCTCCGAAAAGAAATACTCTTTTCTTATATATTCACATTTAGTTTTTTTGCCTGCTTGAAGGTTATTTTGTATATAAAGTGTGAAGCGGTTCACTACATCATCTATAATTCCAGCACTTGGGTGGATGAGGCTGTAAAGCCACCCTAGACTACAAAGTAAGACCATGCCTAAAAATCAAACAACAAAGAGAAAAACCTAGGGGCTGTTATTATCCTGAAATATAAGAATCTGTCTCAGCTGGGAGCCAGTGGCTCATACCCGTAATCCTAACTACTCAGGAGGCTGAGGATCATGGTTCAAAGCCAGCGTGGGCAAAAAAGTCCATGAGATTCTTATCTCCAATAAACCACCAGAAAACTGGAAGTGGCCCTGTGGCTCAAGGGGTAGAGCGCTAGCCTTGAGCTGAAGAGCTGAGGGACAGCGCCCAGGCCGAGTTCAGGCCCCACGACCGGACCCAAAAAAAAAAAGATGTGTGAGGTCTACAAAGAGTTCAAATCACAGTACTGGTGCTAAAATAAGAAAAGAAAAAAGTGGGCATTGGTGGTGATTCACACCAGTAATTCTAACTTCTTAGGAGGCTGAGATCTGAGGGTTGTAGTTCAAAGATAGCCCAGGAAGGAGCCTATGAGACTCTTAATTCCAGTTAACCACAAAAAGCCACAAGTAGAGCTATGGCTAAAGTGGTAGAGTACTAGCTCTGACACTGTTCCAGTCTTTTTTTTACCCCCAGTCCTGGGGCTTGAACTCAGGGCCTGGGCACTGTTCCTGAGCTCATTTTGCTCAAGGCTAGCACTCTACCAGTTAAGTCACAGCACCACTTCTGCCTCTTTCTGCTTATGTGGTACTGAGGAATCGAACCCAAGGCTTCACTCATGCTAAGCAAGCACTCTACCGCTAAGCCACATTCCCAGCTCCATGTTCCAGTCTTGTATGTATTTATTCTCTTCCCCTTTCCTTTAAACCTGACAGTGCTCTGGAAGACCGAGTCTTTGGTTCCATCACTACAAGCTTTTCCAACCAGGGTTTAGGAATATCGGAATATTGTAGAACAGAGGATAAAATAAAGATTAGGCCTAGAAAGAGGACACTTGGATCCAAGATTCCATGCTAAAAGATTCCATGATATATTCTCCCCAGAAGTCCCTAGTTCCACCTTTAAATTAGAGCATGTCAGTTTCCCTCTCTGACCTTAGGTCTGCTCCTATAGCCCTGGGAAGTGCTGAGAAGACCAAGAACAACTCCCACACTCAAAACCCACACTCTAGGGCTGGGAAGGTGGCTTAGTGGTAGAGCACTTGCCTTGCATGCATGAGGCTCTGGGTTTGATTCCTCAGCACCACATAAGCAAAAAGAAAAAAGCTGGAAGTGGCCCTGTGGCTCAAGTGGTAGAGTGCTAGCCTTGAGCTGAAGAGCTGAGGGACAGCGTCCAGGCCCAGAGTTTGGGGCCCACGACCGGACCCAAAAAATTAAAAAAAAAAAAGAAAACCCACACCCTAGTGTGGCACACCCTCAGGTCAAGTTAATACAAGCTGCCAGGACTCACCGGGTAGACAGGGAGGTAGGGTCCAGGGTCCAGATAAGAATACAGCTCTGGCAGGCCACAGCCAAGATAGAGGCGCTGAGGGGCTTCCAGGCAAGAGCTGCCACATTTCTCTGTAGCCGGTGTTTCAAGGAAGGGACAATCGTGCTAAGGAGAGATCAAAGCAGGGACACTAGACTGAAAGACCCAAGTATAATCAAGACAAAACCACAAACAAGTCAGCTAATCTAGGGACCAAGGATTCTCAAACCTATCAAGGGGGAGGGAGGGCTGGGAAGGTGGCTCAGTGGTAGAGCACTTGCCTTGCATGCATGAGGCCCTGGGTTCGATTCCTCAGCCCCACATAAGCCAAAAGAAAAAAAAGCCGGAAGTGGCACTGTGGCTCAAGTGGTAGAGCACTAGCCTTGAGCTGAAGAGCTGAGGGACAGCGCCTAGGCCCAGAGTTCAGGCCCCACGACCGGACGAAAGGAAGGAAGAAAGAAAGAAAGAAAGAAAGAAAGAAAGAAAGAAAGAAAGAAAGAAAGAAAGAAAGAAAGAAAGAAAGAAAGAAAGAAAGAAAGAAAGAAAGAAAGAAAGAAAGAAAGAAAGAAAAGGGGGAAGGAGACGAAGAGGGGGAGGGACAAGAAGAGGGGGAGGGGAGGAGGAAGAGAGGCGGAAGGAAAGGAAAGGAAGGAGGGGGAGGGAAAGGAAGCAGACTGATCCATGGAGGCCTCAGGGATACATGGGATATTACAGGACCAAATAATAAAAGTTGGGTCTAGAGGGGCTGGGAAGGTGGCTCAGTGGTAGAGCGCTTGCCTTGCATGCATGAGGCCCTGGGTTCGATTCCTCAGCACCACATAAGCAAAAAGAAAAAAGCCGGAAGTGGCACTGTGGCTCAAGTGTCAGAGCACTAGCCTTGAGCTGAAGAGCTGAGGGACAGCGCCCAGGCCCAGAGTTCAGGCCCCATGACCAGACCCAAAAAAAAAAAAAAAGTTGGGTCTAGAGAAAAGGCACACCTGATTATAGAGCTCCCCTAACCCCAGTTCTAGAGGGAGTCCCGGTGTTAGCCTTAGGACCAGAACTACAGGATTTCCTCAGCATCAATGCTGGAGGGGAGGGGAGATTGACAGGCTCAGGCCAAGTTAGCACATATACCCACACACCTGTTGGCATTATACACACGGATGGAGTCATCCAGGAGGGCCACTGCAAACTTGTTGGTGTGAGGGTGCCAGGCAAACACCCTCAAGCAGCAGTTGGACCTGGCAGGGCAGGAGTGAGCAGAGATAGAAGCTATACCTCCCATTCTCCAGCCTAGAAGCTCAAATCCCCTTCCACATGAGGAGATGGCTCTTCTCTACTTTTTTTTGGGGGGGAGGGTAGGAAAAGGAAGGTAGGCAGGGGATAAGGAGTGCGGACGTGGTGGGCACAGTGATCTCTCCCTTGCCTTCCCTCTCCCCAAATGAAGTACAAAGCACTTCATCCACACAGGTCCCAGAACTTGTGCACTCACCAATTTGTAACTTGGGCAAATTCAGCAATCAGATCTTCGCTCCGGAGCTATGAGAACACAGCAGATAGAAGACACTCTGGACAAAGAGCTCATTCACTACCAAAGAGCTCACTACCATCCCACCCAGTCCCGACTGAGCAGGGTAAGAAGGGAGGGGGTGGGGCAGGGAAGGGGAGTGACGCCCAGGAAGGGGCCAGGGGAAGCCAAACTTACAGACAGGTGGGGGAAGAGGGAGCCATGGAGTGAGGAGGCCCATTGACAAAGGGCTAGGGCCCAGCTGGAGGCTGTCTTCACCCACTCAAACACTGTGGGATTAAGCAAACAGCTCTGACTGAACCATTCATTGGGCCCCTGCTGGGCACTCATAGGTGAGGACAAGACTTCCCAAAGTCCTACCCAGCAAAGGATCTAGACACCACTAGGTTATTTGGGTAGGTAAAAGAGAAGAATAATGATTGAGCTAAAGGAAAAGAGGATGAGCAAGATGGAGAGGAGACACCAATCACAAACCTAGGGAAGGCTGGAGCACTTACCTTCTTCCTCTGAGTTTGCAATTTCATTCAGCACACCAAAGAGGCCCACATCACGCCTAGGAAGGAGGGGAAACTGAGTTAGACTAATCTGATCCTCTTAATGTTTCCTACAAGTCTCTTTCATTCATTCAATAAATATGTATTATTAAAAACACACGACATTGGGCTGGGAAGGTGGCTCAGTGGTAGAGTGTTTGCCTTGCACGCATGAGGCCTTGGGTTAGATTCCTCTGCACCACATAAGCAGAAAAAGCCAGAAGTGGCGCTGTGGCTCAAGTGACAGAGTGCTAGCTTTGAGCTGAATTGCTGAGGGACAGCGCCCAGGCCCAGAGTTCAATCCCCATGACTGACCAAAAATTAAAAAAAGAGAGAGAGATTGGATTTGAACAGGCTATGTGTAGTTTGTGGGATATCACAGCAGAGGTATTGGCAAAGTAGTATATACCCAGGTCTGGTGCATCAGCTGGAAGTCCAGCCCCAGGAATACCAACATTTAAGGGAAGAGGAACCACCATAAAGGCCAAAAGGCAACAGCCAGAGGAGGAGGCAGAAAATAGCCTGGGAATTAATGGCTCAGTGAACTAATGTTCAATTTCACTCCCACAAAATACAAATAAACTGTACTGTAATATGAAATACCAAGGACTGACAATACAGCTATTGGGAATCAGATATTCACACACTGTTGGTAGAACCATACTACACGTACAGTTTTCTTTCTTTTTTCTTCTTGTACTGGGAATTGATCTCAGGGTTTTGAGCTCTTGTTTGGCTTGCTAGCTAATGGCTGGTGCTCTACCATTTGAATGGTAGAGCTTTCTGCTGGTTAATTGGAAATGGAGTCTCTGATTTTCGTCTGGGCTGGCTTTGAAACACACTCCTCCAGGTCTCAGCTAAGATTATAGGAGTAAGACAAGGTACAATTGTGTACAATTTTGATGCAAACTAGTAGGTAACAATCCACAAAATAACAAATGAACATAATGGTTGATCCCGCCAACTTCATTTCCAAGAATATTTCCTGCAGGACAATGGCAATAATGATGACAATAAAGAAATCTAACCTGTGAAGGAATTAAATGCCAGGCCTTGTTCTCTAAGTGCTTTACATCTATTAACTCATTTAATTACCACTACAATCTTGTAAGATAGGTTTCATTTTACAGATGAATCTGAGGCATACAGTATTAAATAACTTGCCCATGGCCAAACAAGTGAAAAAAAGCACAACCAAAAAATGAAACCAGGTAAATGTGGCTCCAAACTTACATATGCAAAATGAATAACCTATGTATATAATAATCAGTACAGATACCTAACCTTACTAAACTTCTGAGAAAGCTCAAAAGTAATGACATGAAGTGAGCACAGGGAGCAGTTTCACATAATCAAACCAGAAAGCAAGATAACTCATTAGCCATGAAACAGAACATGTGTTTCTAGGCCTTGAATTCAATACCAAGAACTGATAATTTGATACGATTTGTGATACATAGTGGTAACAGAAACAGAACATGAATAAAATAGCCCAAGAGCAGCTCAAGGCAGAAGAATGGTAGGATCTGTAGACCAAGAAACCCTCTGTTATGTATCCCTCACCAAATGCTGATGCATCTCTTCCACACTTGCTCCCGGTGATGGATGAATGCAGTTCTTGTACCATGGTCCAGCCTTCCAGGGGTCTTTAAGGGATCCTTGGTCAGGTGTAGGACAGGAAGATTGATCCACTATAAAAGTGAGTCAGTGTGACAGTGAGTCAGTTTCTTCCCTAGAACTTTGCTGAACTGCCTTTCATCTCCAGCCCATGCCTGGGAAAAGCATGAGTTTCCAGAGATCTATTTTGCATTTTCACAAGGGTAAAAACTGTGAGAAACAAACAAGTAAACAAGTCTTAGCTTCTTTATCTGCAAATCTCTCAAGTTTTCCAAAGGATTCATTTTAGAAAATACTTAACTCAAAGCCTCCTTTTTATATAATAAAAATAAATGTCAGTTTCCTAGGGCTGGGAAGGTGGTTCGGTGGTAGAGTGCTTGCCTTGCATGCATGAGGCCCTGGGATCCATTCTGCAGCGCCACATAAGCAGAAAAAAAAAAAAAAAGCCGGAAGTGGCACTGTGGCTCAAGTGGTAGAGCGCTCACCTTGAGCTGAAGAGCTGAGGGACAGCGCCCAGACCCAGAGTTCAGGCCCCACGACGGGACCAAAAAAAAAAAAAAAAAAGTCAGTTTCCTTTTTTTATTTGGCCAGTCCTGGGGCTTGAACTCTGGGCCTGGGCGCTGTCCCTAAACTTCTTTTTGCTCCAGGCTAGCACTCTACCACTTGAGCCACAGCATGACTTCTGGCTTTTTCTGTGTATGTGGTGCTGAGGAATCGAACCCAGGGCTTCAAGCATGCTAGGCCAGCGCTCTACCGCTGAGCCACCTTCCCAGCCCCTTCCCTTTTATTTTTTCTTCAGGAACTCTGCTGATAAATCAGGCCCTTGCCTTCCCAGTTGCCCCAGATTCGGTCGCCGATTTGTAATCGCTGAGTACGCACACGCCCTACTTCATTTTATGTTCGCCTCACCTATCACTGGGATCCCTTACAAGCCAATACCGACATAAAATACATTTCAGTGCTTCTAATCTCCCGCCCAGGCGCAGCCCGGCCCCGGCGGCCCCCGCGGCCCCGGCCCCACTTCCCCCTGGCCCCTCCCCCTCGGCCCGACCACCTGGCCCCGGAAGTCGGGAGGCGGGCTCTCGTAGCTACTGCCGGTCACCAATTCGTTATTGTGCTCGTATAAGGTGACTTGACCCCGAGGCGGCGGCGGGGGAAACAACCCTAGGGAGCACATCTTGCCAGCCCCGAGGACGTCTGGAGCCGGCAAGCTGCCGAACGATGTCCGCGTTCCTCCGATTCTTAGTTCCCGGGCTAGATTCGTATGCCGACGGGTAGCCGCATGGGACCAATGACGACGCGAAGCTCAACGGAAGTACCAAAGAGAGTAATCTGCAGAAAGGCTGTGTGCGTGACCCCGGGACGGGCTTCCGGGACTTTCTCGAGCGCCTCCTGGCGGACGGGAGGACGCAGCGCGCACACTACTACAGGCCCAACCTTTGATTAAGGGCCAGAACAAGTTTTGTTTTGTTCCTGTTTCCTGTGATACTACTGTTTTCCCTAACTCTGAATCCTCAAAACGGCCTCCCACTCACTCAGCTCTGAGGAAGCTCAAAATAGGCCACGTTTAGAGAAGTACCTAATTAAGCTCTCCCAAATCCGTGGACAGACTAGAGGAAAATACAGAGCTTTCACCAGCAGCTGGCTGGAAAGTTTAAGGAACGGCTCAACGTGAAGGAGGAAAATCAGGAGAGACCTTGGGAGACACTGAGTCTCTCCTCCCCAAACCTAGGGCCCATAGGGGTCCGTGTCTTAACGGGGGAAGTGGAAAACAGCAACATTTGTGCATAGTACTATAATTTGGGCACTTTTATTATAGTTTAAACCACCCCTATTAAATGCACTGTTGAACTAGAGATCAAGCAAATAGAGCAAAGATTGGAGCTAAATCTGAAGGCTTTGGTGCATGTCTGTAATCCCAGCATTAAAGGAGGCTCTTCAGGAGTTTGAGACAGCCTGAGCTACATCGCAAGTTCCAGGCTATCTGGGCTATGTAGGCCTACATGGTAAGACCCCCCCCCCCCCCCCCCCCGCCAAAAAAAAAAAAAAAAAGCCGGGCACCAGGTGGCTCACACCTGTAATCCTAGCTATTCAGGAGGCTGAAATCTGAGGATCATGGTTCAAAGCCATCCCAGGAAAGGAAGTCCATGAGACTCTTATCTCCAATTAACCAGGAACCCAGAAGTGACTTTGTGGCTCAAATGTAAGAGCTCTTGCCTTGAGCTGAAGAGCTGGGGGACAGTGCCCAGGCCCAGAGTTCAAGCCCCACAACCAGACCCAAAAAAAATCTAGGGCTGGGGGCATGGCTCAAGTTGATAAGAGGCATTCCTAGCAACCTAGCATATACAAAGCCCTGGACACAAAGAGAATGCTAGGTGTATTGAGACACATCTATCATCTCAACACTTGCAAGCTGAAGCAAGAAGACTCAAAGTTCAAAGCCAACCTAGGCTATAAAGTGAACTCCTGCTCCAAGAAACAAAACTGAGGAAGTTGCTCATGATAGAGGATTTGTGTAACATAGACACAGCCCTGAATTCAATCTGCAGCTCTGAAAAAAGATTGAGGAGAAAGAGGTTGATCTCATTCTAATTACAAAAACAAAATAGGAGTAGAACTGCAGTCTGAAGTGGTAGTAGGAGCGACAGTAGCTAATCTGGATTGTCAACTTGACTGGATTGGGAAGCATCTAAAAGTAAAGCATAACTCTAGATATATTTGTGATACTTCTAGAGATGATTTCTAGAATCACCTGGGGTTTGATTTGGTTTATGAGATAGTCTGGGCTATATATGTAAATACAAATCCTGCCTCCCAAGTGCTAGGATTTACAGATGTGTACCACTAGGGCTACAGACCACATTTAAACACCCAGGCTCTAATCACTCCCATTAACCAGATTCATTTGCTCAGTTAATACACTGTCACCTGGGAAATGATAGCAAGCTTAATGGACATAAGGTATAAATTGGTGGTAGTTTGGGAAACCTGTTTGAGTAAGCTCTCTCTGAGACAGGTTAAAGGGAAAAAAAAAAAAGGAGTCATTGGCACTGACAGATTAATGGAGAGTGTTGAGGACCCACTAGCAAAGTTTTATTTTTCTGTTTTTTGTTGTTGTTGGCGGTGGTACTGATCCTGAGGCTTCAACCCAGGTTCTGGACACTGTCCTTGAACTTTTTTTTGTGCAAGGCTAGTGCTATACCACTAGAGCCACAGCTCCACTTCCAGCTTTTTTTGATAGTTAATTAGAAATAAGTCTCATGGACTTTTTTTGCTCGGGCTGGCTTCCAACCAGGATCCTAGTATCTCATCCTCCTAAGTAGCTAGGATTATAGGCACCCAGCCAGATTTTTACTTTATTGTTATCTTAACACCAACAACCCAGTAACTCCAAGAAATCACTCCCACATACAACTTGACCTCTTTGAGGAAGCCCCGGTTTTCACAGAGAGGGACAGGTTATAATTATGGGCAAGGGATCTGCCTTGTACCTATCCCCAACATGTGCACTGGGGAGAAGGAACAGCCCTATTTCACCATCACCCAAGTTAGGTCTGTCCCAAGTACTGTCCCCTATAGTGCTTATTTAAACTTTTTTTCTTTTCTTTTGCCCATTCTGCCTGGGACTTGAACTGAGGGCCTGGGCACTGTCCCTGAGCTGCTTTTGTTCCAGGCTAGCGCTCTACCACTAAGAGCCACAACCAGCTTTTCCTAAGTAATTTATTGAAGATAGGAGTCTCTGGGACTTCCCTGCCCAGGCTGGCTTTGAACTGCGATGCTCAGATCTCAGCCTCCAGGATAGCTAGGATGACAGGCGTGAGCCACCGACGCCCGGCTCTTATTTAACTTTCCTTGGGTGGTTTTTCACCGTTGGCACGCTCTCTCCCACACTTCTCACGATGGGGACCCGCCGTGCCCCCGGGGCTCGGCCGACTTAGCGGGCAGCACCACTGTCCTTCCTTTACGACCTTGGGCGGGGAAACCGAGGCCTCGCGGAAGCTGCTTCTGAAAGCCACTCGGGAGCCACGGCCGGGGCAGGGGTGCCTGGAGCGCGCCCGCCGAGGCCCGGCGCCCGCGGCCGGGGACCGTAACCGAGGCGCACATGGCCCGCCCTGCCCTGTTTGTCCTGGCTGTGCGCCGCGCGCTATTTGAGGCGGTTTTTATCTCCCCAGAAACCAGCAAAACCCCAAGCGGAGTCTAAGGGAAGATGAAAGGGGGCCGAGGGGCCGGGGAGGGGAGGACCGCGGGGCTGCGGCGGCGGGCTGGAGCTGGCACCGGACAGGCGGAGGCCGGGAGGCCGGAGGGCCAAACCCTGGGGGGTCCCGAGAACCAGCCCTCCCGAGCTGGGTGTCTGTGGGGAGAGGGCTGGGGTCCCCTCCAGGCCTCCTCGGGTCTCAGATCCCTTCCTCTTCTGCAAAGCGTCCCCCCCTCCACTCCCCGCGCTTCCCTCCCCCCCCTTTCCCGGGTCCCTTCCGCCGCGGTCCCCAGCCCACTAAAGCCGCCCTGGGAACGCGGATGTCTTCAAAGCGCCTTTGAAGCTGCGCGCCCCGCCACGGGGACAGGCGTTTGCGCACCTGGGGGTGGGACGTGCCCGCTGCTGGGCACGCGCAGCCCCCTCCGCCCTCGTGCCCGCGCACGCCCTGCAGAGGGCGCCATCGCGCCAGGCCCAGAACCGCGGAGCGCCCCAGCACCCCCTCCAGCCCAATGAGGGAGCCCTCGGGGTGGGGGGTAGCGGGGGAATCTAGGCGGCACAAAGCCCTATTGTGGCTTGGGGATAGCTGCCACAGAGTGGCTTTTGTTCCTTCTCTAACTCTGCAGAAGGCGGACTCAGCTGATTGCAGGCCTGGGGTAGGGGGCCTGGTTGTGTGCCAACCAGGGTCTGCACTGGAGCTGTGCTAGGGCTGCATACTAGTCCGTCCAGTGCCCAGCCACGGGCTGGGTCGATGCCCTGGACACAGACTTGAGAAAGGGTCTCTGGAAGAAGCCACTGGGCCTTCCCAACCGGTTAAAGACTCAGCTCCGCTGGAAAGCGTGCTCAACAAAGCATTTGACAGATAAGCATAGAATGCCACCATCCACAATACCATATGACCTATACAGGAGTCCCAGCTTTGCCAAGGAGTGTCTCCTGGCCTTCACCCTTCCTCTTCCCCTTTTCTCACCAGGACACAATTTCAAATCCAACTTTATTTATTAAATAAAAAAAAAGAAAGAGATTGAGAAAGAGAGAGAGAGAGAGAGACTCCACAAGGGGGCGATTCCTTCCCTTCCACAATGTCAACCCTCTCCCCAAGCTCCACCAGCTTTACCCTTTAACTTGGGACCTGGAAGGAGCAGGGGACTGACAAAGAGGATCCAAAGTCTCAGGAAAGGCATTCAAAGGCACAAAGCGGCTTTAAAAGTCACTGGAGATGGAGTCGGAAGTTCCAGGTTGGGGTGGGGCTTCTGAATGTACCCCCAAATCAGCTTCGGGGGACCTCTGTCCTCCTAGGTCTATGAATTCTTTCTCAATGGCTTCTAGGCACCAGGCCTAGCACAGTGCTTTGCACTCAATAAATACTTGATTTATTGGACTCTGATCCCAGAGAAAGCCTTCTCAATCCATTCTTCAGGAGGGGCACCTCCAAACCAACGTCCTCCTGTTAGGTGGGCTTCCCTAAAGAGCACGTTTAAGGTGACAGTTGCAAGCTCTCCATAATGATGGGAGATTCACCCCCCACGAGGTCATGGTGTCTGAGAAGAGGAGCAGTGGAAGAATCTGCTCTGGAGTCAAGGAAGCTAGGGGTACATTCCAGTCCTCCCCTCTATAGGACTTGAGGTTTCACAGCTTCTGGCTGGAGCTGGGGATATTAAAGATCTCCTCATCGAGATCTCCACATCAACTCTTTAAACAGAGGTCTAGCTAACCAACCCTGTTTGTAAAAACTCCATTGAGAGAACCCTCCCCCCACCCCCCTCAACTGAGATCCTGATGATAGAAAGTCTATGAACAAGATCTCCACTATCATTTTGTCTATGCATTTGGCTACAATTTCCTCAGCAGAAATGGATTCCCCTTCCCTCCCCAGCTCACTCTTCCTGACCCGTCATCATAACTTAGATAAATATAATTATTATTACTATTCATTACTTCCTGGTGCATAGGGATTAATTCTACAGGCCTGGGGGCAGCCTCCCTGACCCTGGGGTCTGATTCCCCCATTGTTGGGATCAGATCCCCATTGGTCTGCCCCCCTTTTGGCACCCTGCTCCTAGCCAGGTTACTAGAACCCCCAGCCTCCCCCCTAACTTTGATCCCTAATGAAGAGGCCACCA